AAAGGCCACCTCGGCCCCGCGGCAGTAGGTGACGCCGTACTGGTCGCGGAACGGCGCGTCGGCGGCGGGCTGCTCGCCGGGCGCGAGCGGGGACTTGACGACCAGCAGGTAGAGGATGTCGTGCTCGCGGAGCTCCTCCCACTCGTGGCGCATCGGCCCCTGGGTGTCGGCCAGGTTCCACATGACCTCGGCCTCGACGGCGGCCGGCTGCTTCTCGCCGATGCGCGGCGGGCGCACGGCGGTGATGCGGAAGTTCTTGATGGGGAGGGACATGCGGGCCCAGCCGTTGAAGGCGGTCTGGCCCGAAGGCGTGCGGCGCGGGTTCATGCGGCGCACGGCGTCCTCGACGTCGGCCCGGATGGCGTAGGTGGCCTCGAGGCGGAAGAGGTTGAAGTTGCGCAGCAGGTAGTCGTAGAAGGTGAGGAACTGCAGGTTGAGCTTGGGCAGCGCGAGGCAGTGCTCGCCGGTGTAGGTGGCGGCCGGCACCGCGTTCTCGTCCCACAGGATCTCCTCGTTGGGGTACAGGGCCAGCTGGTTGACCTTGTCCAGCTGCGACGGCCGCAGCTCGTGGTGCGTGAGCAGCACCTCGAGCAGGAACTCGGTGGACTCCACCGCGTCGGGCTCGGCGCCAGTGTTGGGCGGCGGGTGGAGCAGGTGGAGGTGCTCGGCGAGCTGGCGCAGCTGCGCGGGCGAGAGGGCGGCGAGGTGGCGCGCGAGCGAGGGGCGGGCCTGGACGGCGCCGATGTTGGACATGGCCAACGCGCGCAGCTCGTCGGGGAAGAGCTTGAAGGCGGCCTTCTGCAGGGCGTGGATGCGGCGGCAGTGGAACGCGGTGGCCTGTTCGTCGGACAGGGCCTCGCCCGAGTAGTTGTTGACGTCGAACGCGGCAAAGGCGGCGAGCATGTCGACCAGCTGCTGGAAGAGGCTGGCCTCCGGCCGCTTGGCAAAGGCCGACAGGCGGCACCGCTCCACGACGTGCGCGTCCTGCAGCACCAGGTGGAAGAACCGCCGCGTGGGCAGCTGCGACTCGAGGTCGATCAGCCACTCCACAAGCCGCTCGCAGTAGGCCACGCGCGCGCTGCGCTCCTCCTGAGCGGCCTCGTCGGCGTTGTCGGCGGGCGGGGTCTCGAGGAGGTCGAGGAGGTCGAGGAAGTGGCGCAGCAGGCCCGGAATGAAGGTGCGCGCCGGGTCGTTGGCATTCTTCTTCGTGTTCTTCTTGGTCTTCTTCTTGCTGGCGGTCTTGAGCTTCTTCCATCGCTCCTGGATTCGCGGCGGAAGCGAACGCACCTCCTGCTCGGCGCGCCCCTCGGCCACCGACAGCCAGAGTGGCAGGTACACCAGCCTGCGCATCAACACCACACACACACACACACACACACACACGGTGAGCAATCATTGGGTGCGCGCGTGGTTGTGTGCGTGTTCGAGGAGACAGTGGCGTACTTGAGGCATTCGGAGCGGACCATGGGGTTCTCGAGGCTTTGGAAGGAGTTGATGAGGAAGAGGAGGTAGACGGCCTCCTCGCGCGTGGAGAGCTGTCGCTCCTCGCGCAGGCCCAGCACGCGCTGGAAGAAGCGGCCGAAACGGGCCTCGTCCTCCTGGAAACAGGCCCACGGTGCCGACACGTTCTCGCGGAACTTCTCGTTCACCATCACCAGGATGGACACCACATGCGCGACCGACGACTTATCGGCATCGAAATTGGGCCACAAAAATCTAAACGATCACGTAGCATCAGTGGTGTGTGAGATCATGATCGAAAGAAATTTTGAAAGTAGTGCAAATCTACTCAAGGGACAAATAGATGGAATTGGGGGCTTTCGTACGCTTCGAGATAATGTGCCAGTTCGAGGAGCATGATGCGGGAGAAGGGATTGGGTGCTGATAGCTCCTCAGTGTAAATATCATCCACGATCTTGGGATCGAATGGGAGCTGATCGGGTGCCCCGGCCCAGTACTGAAGACTGAGCTGTGTGAGCCGATCCCGCACGATCTCCTCGACCGTTGGGGCAAACATCTGCTTCTTCGCTCCATGATCAGCGGCACCTCGAGATGCAACTGCTGCCATTTCCTGCGACGTGTATCGAAGGGCTGATCTGCTGATGGCCGGCCAATTCAGCCAACGGCAGAAAATTCTTTTCTTTTTATTTTCTGGAGCTTCGTAATTTTTTGACGGAATGTGGAATATGCATAAGAAATAAATGTTACTTGGGCACGTGCTGGCCGTCAAGTAGACGGACGTGCGCCCAGTCGACGCCAGTGTCGCGCACGTACGCGATCATTTGCTCGAAGCAGTCCCGCAGGTGCACGATGGTCCGCTTCTCCTCGTGCAGCAGGGTGCGCACCATCCTCGCGTTGTTGTTGTTGGACGGCCCAGAGCCCATTCGACCCTCGATGAAAGCCGCGTCATCGGCCATCGTCGTCGAGTAGCTGGCGAGCCAGTGGTCACAGCATCGGATGAAGAGCTCGTACGTGGCCATCTCGTTTTCCACATCGACAAAATAGGTGAGCTCCGCCACGGGCTCCTGGGTCGTGCCGTCCGCGGCCTCGGGCGTCGATGACGATGAAAATGACAGCGATGATGGGTCGGCCCCGTCGTAGGTCTCGGGCTGAAAGTGCTCGACGGGCGGTAGATCGAGGGCGGAGCAGAGCTGGGCGGGCGAGAGCAGATACGTGCGGAAGAGGTTGCACACAGCCGAGGGGAAGACGTTGTGCTTCACGTACACGTGCTCCCTGTAGTACCAAGGCGGCCGGGGATAACCACCATAGCCGTAGCCACGACCCGCGCAGTCGCACGCACCACCACCAGCACCACCAGTATCACGCGATGACGAAGATGACGGCGCGGAACAGCAACACGCAGAGGAGAACGGGTTGAGCTGTGCACACTCACTCGACGATGAAGCGAAGGGGGAGGCGGGGGATGAAGGAGGTAGAGCTAACGCATTGGCGATATTCCGCAGCGCGATGAGCGAGTGAACGTGGCGCAGGTGGGTCGGCCCCATGTGCTGCGTGACGAAGGCCGGGATGGGCAGGTAGAACTCGTTCTGGTCGTTGTTCATGTACACGAATCCGTAGTCCTCCAGGAAATTACCATTCGCCTTATTGCCGTAATGCGTCAACACCTGGCCACACACGCACACGCACCACCGCACACGCACAACACCACGTAGGTATCGATCAACAACTAGACGCCACAGTGAGTGCGTGCGTACGGGGAAGCAAAGGGGGGAGCTAACCTGTTGACCGGGTTCATAAGAGGTCTTGGAGATGACCTTGAATATCTGGGCATCGGCGTCGTAAAAGTAATGCGCCACCCTCTCCCCGCCCTTCTCGGTGTTGTGGTTCAGCATATCTGATTGCGCGAGCCTCATTAGCCCAGACACACGGGGGAAGGAAAAAGCGAGTGAAGCGGCAGGGCCAAACCTGCGAGCGGCACAATGGCGGGCATGGTGTCGTCGCCATCGAGCCAGTATCCGCGGCTCCATATCTACACGCACACGCGTCCGTCAGCTCCAGCGATCAGCGTCGAAAGCAAAGCGGAATGAATGCAAAAGCAAAGAGAGCCGTGGCTCACCGTCGCGAAGGCCCACATAAGCTCGTCGCAGGTGTGCACCGCGGGCGAGAACATGTCCGGGTAGTCCTTGAAGATGGAGATAAAAATGAGTAGCTACCGCGCACTAGCCCCACGAGACCCGGATCGCAGAAGAATGGGCCGTACGTGGAAGAGAGGGAGAAGAAAGCCAAAGTAGAGGCGTAGTATCGAGGTGCGCATGTTGCGGCTGTGGGGCAGGATGTCGGTGTGGGCCTCCTCCAGCAGGACCAGGTCCTCGCTGCTCCAGAAGATGGGCAGGTTGTAGCTGGTCGGCAGGAGGCGTGAACGAGTCAAAGAAGAAGCATACCACTACACGATACGGGGTGCTACAAGAAGCCACTACACGATCCACTGCACGGGCTTGTTGCGCTTTGTTTGTTGCCACCAAGCGAGTAGCGGCACAAAGCGGCAGAGGGGAGGAAGTAGAAGGATATGAAAGTAGGGAGCCCAGAAGGAGGCGGGTCCGAGGTTCTTCTCGTAGAGGAGCAAGAGGGCGAGGGCCACCATGGGGTCGGCCAGGATGGTGCCCTCGACGGCCGGCAGCACGTCGCGTACCACTCGCGAATCGGTGGCGGTCACTGCCGACAAGATCAGCTGTCGCGGCACCGATGCGAGAACATCCTCTTCCTTCCCTCCCCAAGCATGACGTGAGGCGCGATGCTGGAGACCTCCATGAAGAGATCTGCATTTGCGAATCAGGACACGTACGTGGATGGGCACAGTGGCTCGGGTGCCTCGGCCCGTCCAAGGAAAGGTAGCCAGGCGAAACTTGACGTGGTCTGGACATTCCACATCAAGCCCGTTAGTGGCGAGCCATGTGTAGAAGGCCGCCACCGCAGGTCCTCTCTCATCCATCAATGTGTTGTTCAATCAACTGAAACAATTTCTATTTTATTTGTTTAAAACGATATAATTTCTATTATATTTTTTTAAGGGCGCTTGACAGGAATGCTTCACTGGTGGGTCTTTTTGTTGACCACAATCGCCCAATTGGTGGCCCATCTGACAGAGGAAATGACTTATTTATTTGTTTCCTTGGGGGCACGAAAATTATGAATTTAGAATTATTTATTGCAACAGCGCGGGCGACCGAGGTGGTAATTTGTCCACGATGAAGCCGAAAGCCGAAAGTGACGAAGATTTGGGGCGGGATTGCCAAGAGGGTGCCTCCGTCGTGCAGTCACGCGTGACACCAGCAGCCCCCTCTCCAGATTGCCCCTACCCAAGTAAAATAAAGCAGCGCCATGTGCCGACAATGCCACAAAATAGTCGACGGAGTAGCGGTGCCGCGCACGAAAAAAATCATTCTCAAAATCATTTTGAAC